GGGTCACGATATAGGTCAGGTCGCTATCAGTCATACGGTGTAAATGTAGCCATAGTAGACGATTTTAGTAGACGATTTTACGAAATCCGTAGCCAAAGGCTACGTTTACACCATACGTTTAGTCCGCAGCCTATACCCCAAATTCGACCTAATTTAGGTCACATTATTTAGGCCGCATGCTGTAAACACTACTATACCTGACCCGACTTGTTGTAGGTCAGGCCGGATTTTTTAAACGTGTTTAAACTTCCCTTTTTTCAACGTGTATCATATTAAAATACATTTCCAAAATGATAGCCATAGAAAACATCCTCACATATTCCATTAACATTACTTTCTGCCTCCTGCGCAATTGTCGAATCCAAGAAAGAATATTTCTTTTTTTAAATAAAATAAATTTGTGAAAATATGTAATATATTGACGTGTAATGAAATGTGACATTTCGAATAAAAAAATATGAGTAATCGAATGTCTTAGAATCGAAATGCGATAACCTCCTCACTAATGCACTCGCGAGTACAATGCTGTATATGGAAATAATTTGTACAAAATACGATAAATGGCTCTAATTCGGACCAGCGTGGACTAAATGTGACCCAATCAATTTTTAAGTCCCTTTCGGTGTAAACGGTTGGTGACTACTTTGAGTCACGATATAGGTCAGGTCGCTATCAGTCGTACGGTGTAAACGTAGCCAAAAACACCTATCATATAGGTCGCGGACTAAGCGCACGGTGTAAACGTAGCCAATATTTTGTTTAGTATCTAATATCATTTCACGTACATCACACGGACAAATGACTTTATAATCAATGCTCATGATTAATCAAACTTTAAACGTTTATACGTAAGAAACTACTTTATGGAAAAAAATGGCTTGCACTCTCATTTAATTTTTTTACGAAATTTTACGCTGATAATATTATCCTCGAATTTCGAGATACTATGTATATAGCTAACAGGTTTATATAAGAATAAATATAATAATAATTATATTATAGTACCGTGTTACAAGATATCTTATACTAAAAAAAAACTTGCTATATAAAATATTGTTAGTAGAGAAATACATCAAGGGAAAAAAATATTTACAAATACACATTTGCATTATGTAGCAATTTTTCTGCAATCTAATTATCGATAATTATTATCACTTGCCAGTCAAAATCTCAACGTTCATAAAGAATTTTTATGAAAATATCGCAGATTATTTCTACATATAAAATAACTATACTTTGTAAAACGATCGAGAAAGGATAAATATTTATTTATATTAACAAAGATTATAATAAATACCTGCACAAGTCTTTGGCAATAAACAACATTCTACGTATTATTCTTATAATAGTCTGATTACAATAGCGAATAAATGTCTATCATGAATTTTCTAAAATATACAAAATGTCCCAAACTTTTTGACACACCGCTTATTGGCAGGTAGATTAGACTAAGCTGAGCCAAAAGTCCTATATTATTTTACAATTTTCGCAACAGTTAACAAGATATTAATTTCTAAAGATTGCCGAATAAACGAGTAAAATCGACACGTAAGACAACTTTAAAATATTTTCAGTTTTTATAAAATATCTTAAAGTTTTATGTTAAAGAACTCTTAAAAAAATATTCTAAAGGTGATTATTTACATAATAATTCGAGTTATCATAGAAGTGTGATTTTCTTTATATAATGAACTTGAAGTACCGAATTTGACGTGTGCAAAATTCTAGGGTAGGTTTACGATAAAATGAGAAAAAAATGTTAAAAATGTAACTTTTAACATATAACTTAGTAACAGATAAGGATCGGAGGTACTTCTTTAACTAACTGCATACAAATATTACCATAGATTTCTTTAAAAAACGAGATTATAATAGTTTATAAAATTACGATTGTAATGATACAAAAAAGTAATAGATTAACAACCATTCGGGAAAGATATTTACATGCATAAACTTGCATATAAATTTAATATCGAAAAGTAAACATGACGTCATCTTGTTTTCGTTTTGTGAAGATGCAGCTCTTATATGATTTACTATTGTATATTTCATTAAGATATATGATCAAAAAGTTCCCGGAATTACCACCAGGTGATGCTCTGAGTCAGCTGAGTTGAGTTCTGTTTTTTTGGTTATTAAAAAACCGTGCAGAGGTAAATGTACTCAAAACGGCGTAACTTTTACAAATGTCAAGCTATAGCGATAAAATTTGGTGGAAATGTCAATGATAGATGTGGCAACCTAACCAAAAAAACAGAACTCAACTCAGCTGACTCAGAGCATCACCTGGTGGTAATTCCGGAAACTTTTTGATCAAGGTGGTACACGTAGTTTTAATATATTTTATCCGAATATACATTCTGTCAAAAAAGTACCGGGAATTGTCGATTTAAATCTGGCGGGGCAATGAGGCAGGTAAAATTTTTTTTTTCCTAGGTTGGTACCACTGTCCTTAATTACTATGCCAAGTTTGAGCGGGATCTGTCAACCAGTGTGTTTGCAACAGCTGGTTAAGTCAGTCGATGTCAGTAGTGCGTGCCGATTTTTTACTATGGGTGATTACGTTGAGCAAAGAATTTGTTTAAAGTTTTTCGACTTTCTCGCCAAAAACTCAACGAACGTGCTTCAGCAACCACCGTATTCGCCGGATTTGGCCCCCTGTGACTTTTTCCTCTTCCCAAAACTAAAATTGCCGCTTCGTGGCACCCGTTTTGAGTCGATTGAAGCCATAAAACAAAATTCGGCGCGAGAGCTAAAGGCCATCCCGGAAAGCGCCTATAAAAAATGTTTCGATGATTGGAAGTGCCGTTGGCATAGATGTATTGGAGCAAATGGAGCCTATTTTGAAGGCGACCCAATAAATTTTGATGATTCTATGTGAAAATGTTGTTTTAATTGAAAATTCCCGGTACTTTCTTGACAGAATGTACACTTAGTTTTAATATTTTATCCAAATTATGCAGATATTTGTGATTTTGAGTCTGGTAAGATATCTCAAATTTTCGCACTTTATTTAAAAAAAAATCACTTTGAAGCTGTTTTATGCATCGATTTTAGACATTCTGCTCATTAGGTAATGAAAAAAAATGCGAAAATTGTAAAATGGTACAAGATTTTTCGACTCAGTTTAGTTTGCTCTACCTGTCCACAAGAGATGTATTGGGTGTGTGTGTGTGTGTGTGTTATAAATTTTTATTATAAATTACTAATGTTAATTTTTTTTAAAAAAATTAACCGTTTTTTTATACATAAATTTGAAACTCGTTCTAAATTAAGACTCCTGGGTCGCCGCGGTTATAAATCGTGACATAAGTGAAAAATGAGACGTTAATTTTTGTTACATACTATTTATAAATAAAGACCATTTGGATAAAACGAAATGATGAGATCGCTTTAAAACACTTATAAAAATGGATCAAAACTATTCTTGTCTCCCCTGATAATCAGTAAATAGTTATAAAAAGTGATAAAAAGGACGTGAAATGCATTTTACTCAACGCGCAGCCTATTTTCAGGTGCCTTTTACTACTTACTGACTGTCAGGAGGAAAGGACAGCTTTGATCCATTTTTACAAATGTTTTAAAGCGATCTCATTCTTTCGTTCTATCCAGCTTCGATCGTTGTGAACCTTTAACTCCTATTTCTTATTGGTTATGTTCTCACATGTATAATCTAATAAGATTCGTATTGTAAATTGTTTATCCAAATTGTCTTTACTTATGAACAGCATGTAACAAAAATCAATGTATTATTTCTAGCTTATGACGTCACGATTCAATACGGCTACGGCGATTACTCAGGAGATGTAAACGAGAAATGAGGAGCAGACTTTCAAAATGCGTTTTGTCCAAAATTTCATTTTTTAGTTAGAGATAGTGTAGTGTTCAGTGTTGAAAGACTCATTATAAGCTATTCTGAGATGTTCAGAAGGCATTTTTTTCATCGTTAATTTACAATATAAAAGACTGACATTTCGAAAAGACATAGACATTTCGAAGTACATTATGTTTCTTAACTAAAGCCAAACAAAATGCATTTGTTTAATATTTTTAGCAATTGTTTAGCAATTTTATTTAATATTTCACATCTTACTGATTGACACATTGTTATTTTCTGTAAAGAGCGCAATTTTCTTGGGTGCGTAGTTTCTTTCTCGTTTTCTGAAAATTACAAATTTTGAACAAAACGAAAGTCTGCTCCTCAAATATATTGCTGCAACTAATGAAACTTTAAATACACACGCGCGCGCACACACGCACGCACACACGCACGCACGCACGCACACACACACACAATGCAATATTAATTAATATAATATGAATTAATATAATATTAATTATATTCACTATTAATTGTCAATATTACCGTAACTTTTCCATCTACATATAAAGAAGATATTTTTGTCGTACTCATGATACATATATTTGCATTACACTATCATTTATTATACATATATAATATTATCTTAGAAGCAAAAAATGTAAGTTAAAATTTTTTTCGAATCAATAAAATTACTGTCATTGCATATCGCTATTACTGTTTCTTTTCGATTATTGGTTTATATTTATAATATGTTTCTATGCACATTAAATGTTTCGTAATAAAATTAACAATATTTTATTCACAGTTTTAATAGTCAAATTGGAAATAATATCCTAAAATATGAAGCAAAGTATACATTAAAAAGTAATAGAGATTATATAATCACTGCACCACGATGTTCAAAGCAATTGCACATCTTCCCAGTTCAATGAAATTTTTTTCAATGTCATTATGAAGATATCAGCGATTGAAATACTGTATATCCCTTTTAATCCTCAAGCACATAAAATATCAATTCAAGCACGGTATGTGCATCCTGACTGCTTTGCACAGCTTTATGTAAAACTTGAATCAATTCATTGTCTAAACTTTTCATATATATTGGCGGTAATTTTGTACCTTCACTTCCAGCTTCATATCCCACCTATATATATATATATGATTGTGTATGTATATATATATATTTAATATTAAATATAATCTTAATTAAATGGAATAAAGTGAATTATATGAATTAGAGAGTCATATTTACGTTATCTGGATGAATCGTTGTCCGCACACCGAGCTTTGTTAAACCTGCTGTTGCCAGAAGATCCAATAATTTAACTAACGCTGCACATGTCGCTTTTGCTATACTGCCAGATAGTTTATTTATATCTACAGGATCATTCACGGCACTCGAGTGATCATCTGACTTTTAAAATAATATTATTTTATTAATCTAATTTATATATACATATGTATTTTACTAATCTAATTTATACACTGAAAAAAACTTTATTAAATTTTAATAAATATTTGTTTCAATAGTATTAACGAAATATTTACTAAATGTAAACATATATTTTGATTTAA